GCCTCTCTGCTGTCCCTGCCCTGGTTGTCAGTTGTACCCTTTGTCCAGACCTGGGCTGGATTTGGTTCCCAGCAAGGGACTAAGTCAGGGAGTATGTTCCCTCTACCCTCCCCCCGCATCCCCCATCCTATCCTGGCCTACTGCAGGGTGGCATTCCCCTGGGCCCCTGCTTTGCTTGAGAGGCCAGCCTACTTGACCTGAGATTTCTGCCACTACATAAGCCCCACCCCCTTAACCCCACAGCAGAAGTCACTTCCTGCCTCGTGCCTAAAAGCGCACGCCTTTAATCCCAGCGCTGGAGAGGCAGAAGTGACTCTGAGTTCAAGGCCAGCCTGTTCTACAAATCCAGTTTGCCGACAGCCAGAACTGTTACACAGAGAAACCCTGTCTCAGAGCGCGCACGCGCACGCGCACACACACACACACACACACACACACACACACACACACACACACACAGTCACTTCCTGTAAGTCTCTGTGGCATTTGCCCTTTTCTGCTCTAGCATAGTAAGAACCTTTCCTATTTCCACCTCTCTGCCTCCACTAAAACCACCTCCTCCCTCTCAACCTAGGGATGTTCTCCACAGCTTTCAGGGCTTCTCCTCAGTTTTCCCTTCTCTTTCCAGCCCTCTCCCTAATGCCCTCCTAAGTCAAGTGTGACCTGTTACAAGGAGGCTCCTAGCATCTTGCTGCCCTAAAGCCGACTGGTGTCTTACCTCCTCTTCCCACATCAAAGCTTCCTTTCTACTTTCTCTACCCCTTCACGCAATGCCAGGATAATGAGTCATTTTGCCCCCATCTGGGCCAGGTGTTCCATGCCCAACCCCCACCCCCAAACCCTGCTGCGTGCTGGCCACCCCAGCTTGACTGCAAACAGCTCTGGGGCTGCCCGAGCAGGCAGCATGCACGTGGCTGCACTCTTCACACCCAGATGGAGGATCTCTGCCCATCCCTCCTCTCCCACGCTGATGCCTCAGCCTCTCGGGCATCCCCTTACAGTTGAACCTCTGTAACCACGGCAAGATGTCTCGGCATGTACCTCAACCTTCAGGCCAAACTTCCTGCTTCAGGCCTGTCCCACTCCCACTCCGTTCTGGCTAATGTAAACAAGGACTTCACAGGGCCCACACTGCACAGGTCCCGACGGCCGCCGTCTTCAGCGGGGAGCTCAAGGCCCAGAGCTGTTGTCCGACCCACTCCTCAGAGTTCTGTCACCATGGTAGCCACTCACGCTGTGGTACTCTTCGCTTTCTTGACACTTCCTTCTCTGCCTCTGTGCTCTCCTCTTCTCGGGGTGTCCATATGCACCCCAACACTAAAGAAGGGCTACCGCTCTCCTCTAGGCTCCCTGAGTTCCTGACCCGATTCTCCCTTGCTCTTCAGTGTGCCTCAGAAATTCTGTTTTCTGATAGAGCCTGTCAGCTCTGGGGACTTTTGAGTTCCTGTGGTGAGACCTCTGAACGGCCCATGGAGGGGGTTCAGGGGATTCCAGTAGGAGGAAAGCAGGGAGATGGGGCTGAAGGATTGACTGTTAGACTCAGGACATGGTGGGCTTTCATGGTTGTGGCCTTTTCTTTATTTTTTTTTTGGGGGGGGGCATTTTCCAGACAGGGTTTCTCTATGTAGCCCTGGCTGTCCTGGAACTCACTCTGTAGACCAGGCTGGCCTCAAACTTACAGAGATCCACCTGCCTCTGCCTCCTGAGTACTGGGATCAAGTGTGTGTGCCACCACCAACCCAGCTTTGGCTTTTTCTTACTTCCCTGGCACACACTGCCAGGGGATACACCAAGGGCAAAGCCACAGTGTTCTTTATTCTGTTTACAGATTATGAAAAGAACCCCACCTCGAAACCTGGGAAGAACGGTGCCCCAGAGGAAGACCATCTGCCCCTCCAGGTCCTCCAGTCCCACTGACGGTCCAGATGCAGCAGCAGGCTGGCCGGGCAGCGTAGGGGATCTTTCCAGCCACACCCGCTAGCTCCCAGGCTACTGAAGTTTGGTGGAAATACAAATATTTTTTTGCATAACTAAGTGTTCTAGAAGTATTATTCGAATGAAGTTATGGGGATCTTGCATCTGGTAATCTTTGCACGTGTCTCTAAGTGCCCACCTGGCTCAGAGGCTAGTCTGCTCAGAAACCCTCACTGGCTGGTCACACCGAGGTTCCTGCACTGCCCTCTTCCATGTGGCAGGCTGAGGGCTGGGTACAAACGAAGCCACTTTCCCACCTCTAAGATGACTGAGTCTCCATCAAGCTCTGGATTATTGCTTTCTCACCCACCTGGGCTTCAGTTGCCCACCTCTCCTCCCCACTCTTTGCAGGAAAGCCAGAAAGGCCTTCTTGAGACATAAGACAAGCAAGTCACCTCTGCACCCTGAAGGCCTGACAGCAGCATCCTCAGCCTTGCATGGTTTTGCCCATGATTCCCAGATCCCCTGACCCTGTACACCTTTTGCTTTTAGGGGAGTTTTATGAAAAGTCTTTAGTACTTTCTCTTAATTATTCATGAAGCCAGAAGTGCCTCGTATTTGACTTGGCCTTTGCTAGATGTTTCCGTGACTTGAAACTCCCAGAAGAGAGCAAGAGGGGAGCTGCACCTGTATTAAAGATTCCAGGCCAAATGACTTGTTTGACATCGTCTTTCAAACCACAGCCAAATTATCTTGGGCTATTTTTGGTTTTTCTTTCTTTCTTTCTTTCTTTCTTTCTTTCTTTCTTTCTTTCTTTCTTTCATTTTATTTTATTTTACAATACCATTCAGTTCTACATATCAGCCATGGGTTCCCCTATTCTCCCCCCTCCCACACCCTCCCCTTACCCCCAGCCCACCCCCCATTCCCACCTCCTCCAGGACAATTCCTCCCCCGAGGACTGCGATCAACCTGGTAGACTCAGTCCAGGCAGGTCCAGTCCCTTCCTCTCAGACTGAGCCAAGTGTCCCTGCATAAGCTCCAGGTTTCAAACAGCCAATTCATGCAATGAGCACAGGACTCGGTCCCACTGCCTAGTTGCCTCCCAAACTGATCAAGCCAATCAACTGTCTCACCTATTCAGAGGGCCTGATCCAGCTGGGGGCCCCTCAGCCTTTGGTTCATAGTTCATGTGTTTCCATTCATTTGGCAATTTTTTATTTCTCAATAATTGAGTAAAACCGAAATTTATTATAAGCCACAGTCGTCCTAGGGACCTCCAAGCTATATATATAGCCTCTATGGTTCTATGGGTTGTGGTCTGATTGTTCATTTTATATCTAGAATCCACCTATGAGTGAGTACATACCATAACTGTCTTTCTGGGTTTGGGTTACCTCACTCAGGATGATTTTTTCTAGTTCCATCCATTTGCCTGCAAATTTCATGCTTTCATTGTTTTTTTCTGCTGAGTAGTACTAAATGAACAGGAACTGTTTTTGGTTTCTTTGAACCCCCGGCCCCCCTCTTCCTCAGTGTCTGACTTAACATCCTTGTGAACTATCAAAACTTTACACTACTATCCTTAGCTATTCCACAAACCCACAAGCTAAGAAGGTCACTGGGTAGCACCTGAAACCAACAGCAGAGAGCTCCCTCTTTGCTGTAACTTGCCAATTGTGGTCCCTTCCAAATGACTTTCCTTCTTCTGTAACTACAAACACTCCCAAAATGGAACATGGTATTTGGGGAAACCTGAATTTGTGTCCCTGGCCATGGTCACTCACATTTGGCTCCAAAATAAATGATCTTATTCCCTTTAAGGTGAGTGGACACTTCCCTCCCTCCATTAATTAAATCCTACGTTTATTCCCTGGGCCATCTGGATTGCTGTCTCAGGACTACCTGGCAGTTCTCTTCCGTTAAAATGAGTCAATTCCTCAGTACATTTGCATATGAAGTGTATGCAAGCACAGATGTGTGTTGCTGGATGGAACCTAGCATCTCCTATATAATAGCTCTGTAAGACATTGCGCTGAGGTATTTTGAGACAGGATTTCATTCTGTAGGCTAGGTTGGTCTTGAACTCACAAGAACCTTACTCTAGCCTCCTGAGTGCTAGGATACAGGTTCACCCATCCTAGGCTGGCCTCAAACTCTCTGTATAGCTGAAGAAAGACCTTGAACTTCTGATTCTCCTGCCTCCATATCCCCAGAACTTGGGAGTTTGCCACAATACCCAGTTTATGAGGTGCCGGGGATGGAACTAAGAACCTCATGCTCGCTATGTTCCCAACCCTTAAAAGACACCCGAACCTGCTCATATACTGACGGGATAGCATCAGCAGTTTTCTGTTGCCCATGAGACAAGCCCGATGCAAAAGTCAGAAGCGGGAAAGGGGTGGGGACAATGAAAACGGATCAAACAGGAACTCCTCTTGGCTGTATAATTCTCTAAGGAATGTGATGAGGGCTGTCTGCATAGGGTCTTGAGAGGTTCCGTGGATATGTTCAAACAGCAATGGGGCGAAGAGCGGCCCGAATCTTTAAGAAACAGCTGCTTATTGTCTCTGAATGTAGTTTCGGGTGTTATCTCAGGCGAGCCTCAGAAGAGCCAAGGTCTTACCCTCCATCCCCAGGTCCTGAGGATTAAACGCATGCTTATGCAAGCATGAGATTATTTTGGCCCTTTTCTTTCTTTTTATTTTGAGACAGGGCTCGCTAAAACTGCCCAGGCTGGGCTCGAATTCCTAAGGTCCAGACTCCTAAGCAGTTGTGATTTCAGGCCTGCGCTGTCAGACTTAACTCCATGTTTTCAAAGTCCACAACGAGTTTACAGAGGGCTGGGAACTCGCCGAACACGATCGTGTCGGAGGACACATTGGCTAACATAAAAAGCACGCCGAAGCCTTCGCGCAGGCGCGCTGCAACTCGCTCCCCGCTCTCCGCTACCCAGAATTCCCGGGGCGGTGGAGACCACTCGCCCCACGGAGCGGGGGAGCGCCGCGAGTTCCCGTGAGCCTTTGCCACTCCCGCCCCCCCCGGGTGGGAAGTGGTCTGTTCCGAGCCCTTAAGAGCCGGGCGCACGATCACCGCGGTCTCTCGCCGCGGACGCTATGTGTTCGTTCGTGTTTGCTTCCCGTAGCCGGACCTGGTGCCTGGGCCCAGCGGAGCGCGGCCGGTGCGATGCCGAGCCAGCCCGGCCTGTCGGCCCCGCCGTGGGCGCTGCGCAGACCTGAGGGAGCCGGGTAGGTCGGGGTCTGCACCCCGGGGCTCCGCGCGTGGGCGGGCTGGCCGGCGACTGCTCTGATGAGACTAGAAATAGGAAGTGCCGTCCGAGGCGATAACTGACGACCTCCCTTCTTAGCTGATCGCAGTCGCTCGAGCCTCGGCGATGGACCGCGCGAGTGTTCGAATGGTCTCTGGACTCGCTTGTTCTTTTAACCTTTCAGGGGGAGAACTGACCGGACGTGGAGGAGGAGCAGAGTGCCACCACGAGGTAAGTTCCTGGAGCCGTCGATGTGTGGCTGACATGGTAGTTTTCGCTACCCGCGGTGTTCCCACCCCACCCCAGCCCAGCATTCAGCTCATGCTTTTTGCAGAAGTGCTTAGCTAAATTCCTCCTGGCGCTGGATGGCTCAGCTGCCAAGAGGCCTATTACTACAATACAGTATTTCAGGCAGCGTGGTTCATAACCACCTGAACCTCTAGAGCCAGGGAATCGAGTGTGTTCTGGTCTCGGCCACACCATCCACATGCACCCACCCCCATGGGCACAGCCGTAATGGGCTGAAATGGGCCTCCAGTCAGTGGCTGTTCAGCATGGGTTGGAGTGGGACAGAGGAAGCTTGACTGCGGTGATGAGATCACTAATAGGAAGTGCCGTCAGAGGCGATAACTGACGATAAGTTGTTCCTGGCTGATGCAGTCAAGCCTTCACCAGTGACTGGTGTTGAGGATTAACTCGGTCTGGACTATAACAACTGCTGTGTTCCATCTAGGTCGGACATTGAGATCGGAGGCTGACTGCCAGCAGCCGTGGCCTCCCATGAGGTAAGCTTTTGTCTTGGTTGTAGTTGGGCCAGGCCTTGTCAGTTTGGTTTGGTTATGATCGTTATGAATGTACATGCATCAGTCCAGCCTGACTTGGAATGCTTGTACTCAGTACTGGTTGTAGTTGGGGGTGGAGCCTACATTTAGCAGGGTGCTGTCCATAGGTAACTACAGAGCCATCTTTTTTATGTGTCTGGTGTCCGTGTAGGCTAGAAAGGGGCACGAGACTTAGAGGTGGTTGTCAGCCACTACTTGAGTGCTGGGAATCAAGCCTGGGCCCGTGGAAAGGCAACCTCCAGTGCTCTTAAACCTTAAGTCATTTCCCAGTCCTTTAACTCGTCTTAAATTCCCTCTTAAGTGGCAGTTTGGACAGCTCATCCTGCCATTTGGGTCCCATGGATTGAGCCCAGCTGGGCTGGTTTTGCAGAAGCCCCCTCACTGGTGGTTAAGATTGCATTTTATTTAATTTTTTAAAATTATTTTTGTGTGTACTGGTGTTTTGCCTGCATGTATATCTATGTGAGGGTGTCAGATCTTGGAGTTACAGACAGTTGTGAGCTGCCATGTGGGTGCTGGGAATTGAACTCAGGTCCTTTGGAAGAACAGCCAGTTCTCTTAACCACTGAGCCATCTCTCCAGCCCCTAAGATTGCATTTTAATAACTTGAAAGATGTACCCTTTGTAAGGTCTTTAGTGCTCTTGTTAGGCTGTGTTTAAAACTAGGTTCCAGTGTGGTGTGGCTGCCGTTAGAAGTAACTCATCCTGTTTCTGCAGTCCATCTTAGGAGCGTCCGCTTCCTCAAGTTTTGAGAACTGAGTGCTGGAATGCAGCCTGTGTTGGTAGCCGCAGTGAAGGAAGAGGTAAGTTTGATCTATACACTGATTGCTTCAAGCTAGCTGTCATTTTTTGAAAGGATATCAGATGATGAGATCACCTAAAATAGCTGGAATTACCGGCAGATTGGTAGTGGTGAGCCTATGGTTTTCTGAAGATATCTTTCAGTGTTCTGAATGCCATTAGTTGGAACAAGTGTGATTCTGAAACCTAGTTCCTCTGCAGGCTGTCTCCAGAAGAGTCTCCAGCAGTACCGCCACCAACCGGGATTCGGAAAGCAGCCTCTTAAGCAGTGTTATGAAAACAGTCCAGCATGTGTCTGCTGACCCTGTTCTGTCTGGTCAGGCACATTTGGTGATCATCCTACCCCACGGGAACTTCCACACATGTCAATAAAATGTTTGTGCACAAAGTTGTACCATTGTATTGAATGAATTCACAAGTCTGTGTGTGTGTGAGTGCGCGCACGTGTGTATGCACACATGTTACCATTAACAAGCACCAAAATAAAGCAAGTCTTTGGTACTGGTCCTCAAAATCGTGTATTTGAAGAGTAAATTGTCAGGTGTTGAGCAGCCCAGCACTGTAAACTTCTGGTCAGTCTAAGCTGTTTTCACAACCTAAGACTTGGGCAAAGATTCCAAAGCATTTAAGGCATCCACACTTGTCCTGTCTCTTGGCTGTAGTGATGCAGTACCATGTAAGGCCCCTATCTTGCCCAGATCCTATGAGCCAGTTTGCTTGCCGGGCCTGTAAGGCTTTGCTTCCCTTGGATCTTGAGTCACCTAGTTCAGAACAGTTCCCAGTTTCCTTGGGCTTGGAGTGTAGGAGCTGCTCATTGTGGGGGTCGGGGGCATTATGGGAAAATAGGTGTAGAAGCCCCAATTTTCCTTATAACTAGGGCTGAAGTAACTAGTCCTGGAGCCTTAGGATAAGTGCTTGAAGAGCCATTTCCAAGGACTAGATTCTGGGAATAGGGTCTGAAACCCAGCTGGTAGGAAAAAAAATGTGCTGGTTGAGGGGTGAGGGCACTAGGCATGTGCTGCCTTTCACAGTAAAATCCTCCAGTCAAGGAAGGGAGGTCTGCAGCTTGAACTGGATTTCCTATTCTTAGTGCTCAGGACCCAAACCACCTCCAGGAGGCCCCTGGGAATCGGGAAGCCCTCTTAGTAGATGCCCCTTTCCCTTAACTGTAAGGAGGCTCAACTGCTTGGTTTGGTCCAGCTCCACAAGTCTGGGAGAGCAGGCTGAGTGGAGACATCCCAGAGCCTCCAGAGCAAGGGATGACTTCTCAGCGGCGGGGACTGGGAGCTGGGGACAACAGTTAGTGCTCTGATAGCCTGGTGTCTGGGTGGTAGGTGGGGTGTTCAGACATCCTCCTGATGGGAGGAGCCCCAAAGCCACCTTAGCCATCCTGACAAGGTCTCCCTGCTTCCTGGTCATGTCTGAGTCCCAGTCTCCTGGTCTCCTGTAAGTGTCACAGGGCTTCCTCCAGGGTCCTGCTGACTTGTACCTTCCCTGGCCTCTTCCCCAGTACCTGGCCCCTCCCCCAGCTCCAGGATGGTTGGTAGGTGCCCCTGCTTTGGAGAGCGCTTGCGCAGGCTGAGCAGGAAGGGCTGGGGTAAGGAGAAAATGTCCACATTGTTGCCCAGGTCAATCCATGTGACATTGGGGAACTTGCTGGGGTCCTTGAGGGTGTCGGTGAGGTCCCTCAGCAGAGCTCTGGTCAGTCGGTTGCCATTGAGGGCTAGTGTGGTGAGGCGAGGCAGGGTGCTGAGCGCCGGCAGGAGCTGCAGGACCATGTCGTCCGTGAGGCCCGTGAAGCCCAGCTCCACACTGTCCACTTGCTCTCCACAGCGCTGAAGATAGCTGGTCACCCGCTCCAGGTCACGGGAGGTCAGTGGGATGCCTGACAGATCCACCATGTTGTCCGGGGGATTCCCAGCTAGGAGGGCCTTGAGACTGAAGGAAAGAAGGAATGAGCAGGCTTTTAGCGGGGGCAGCGGGGGCTGTCACCACAGAAGCAGCCTCTGCTTCACTCTGATCTGGGACCTCATTTCTTCTACCCCTCGCCAGGGTGGGTAGACTAGGGAGTCCGCAGCTTCAAAGCTCCGCGGAGTGGGCAGCGCGTGAGGTTGGAGGCTGCCACCCCAGTTGCTCTCCAAGCCTAGGTTTCTATAGGATGCCTGCAGTTTCCTCCTAACTCCTGTTTCCTACCCTGTGCTAGTCTCTAGCTAGTTCATAAAGGTCGGTGCTTCAGGGGCTTGCCTAAAAGAAAACAGCTACCATTATTACCGCAGGGCTGTGGGGAACGCTAAAAACCACGTGTTACAACAGCGCCTCCTATAGGCGGATGAGTGAATGCTGTCACTGTCAGTCACTGGGGCTGAGCTTTCACAGCTGAGTGAGGGCAGCAGGCTGGTGGGAGGCTTGATGCTTTCATCTCTCTTGCCATCCGCTGCCCCTTGCCTGGTTCTGGGGCCCAGACCACTTGGCTTGAAGTGTGTCCCCAACCCCCACTCCCACTGGTGAGATGCCCAGTTTTCTCTGAGTTTTCACATACCTGACCCTCCTACCCTGGGGATGGCTGAACTTGCTGCAAGATGTCTATGCCGGAAGCTCAGGGGTCACAGCCTCACCAAAGCAGCTACCCTGGGGCCCCCTTGGAGCTGGGAGATTTTGTTCCTTGGATTTGAAGGTAAAACTCTCCAAAGCATGAGATTTAACTGCTTAGAATCCTGCCTGGAATTTGTCGGCTGTGACTTTAGTGTGGGGTTCTATCAATGTCAGCAATGAAGCCAACCCAGCACCCTGAAGATGGCTGACCGTCTATACCCTGGAGTCAGGTAGGTATGGGTTTGAATCTATCCCCACTGCTTGCCAATTTGAAGATCTTGGCCAGTCAAACGGCCAAAATCTTCTACCCCACTCACTCTAATATTTGTTATGGCCCTACCATGTGCCGGGCAGTGTCCTAGGCTGGTGTCACAATGGCGAACCTAGTGGACAGGAGCCTTGTTTTCCTTCTGTCATGGGGAGACAGGGAACAAATAACGATGACAAGTAGCTTTTGGGGGTTGTGGCTGTGAGCTGCCTGACAGGGGACCTGGAACCTGGAACTAAGCAAGCAGGGCAGGCTTTTTAGTTCCGAGGAGAAATTTACAACCTGACGTAAAGAAAGAGCACGCTTGGGCCATTAGAAGAGCTGGCGAAGAGTTCCAACCGAAGCAGTGTCAAGTGGAAAGTCCCTGAAGCTGTCAAGTTCGAGAGTGCTCCTGTGTGTGTGAGGTAGCCTAGAGGAGGGAAGACAGAGAGGAGGCACAGGCGGACCACAGTGCCTGCTTCAATTTCAAGTGTGAGGAGAAGCCACCTGAGAGGAATGAGGAGGTTTCATTCATACAGTTCCCAAATGGAGAATGGACTGAGCCTCTTGTGTGTGGACACTGGCAGACAGAAGACCTAGCTGGCCATGGTTGGCATATACCTATTATTCTGGCACTTGGAAAGAAGCAGAGGCAGGGGGCATTGTGAGTTTTAAGCTAGCCTGGGTTACACAGTGAGACTCTAAAATTAATCTCAGAAAGCTGGGCATGCTGGTACATGCCTTTAATCCCACTACTGGGGAGGCAGAGGCAGGCGGAGCTCTTAGGAACTGGAGGCCTGTCTGGTTTGCAAAGTGAGTTCCAGGCCAGCCAAGGCTACATAGCAAAGACCTTGTCTCAAAGGAACAAAGCCAGGCATAGTGGTGCATGCCTTGAATTCCAGCACTTGGGAGGCAAATGGAAGTCTCAGATCAAGGCCAGCCTGGTCTACATAATGAGCTCAAGGACAGTAGAGCTACATAGTGAGATCCTGTCTCAAAACAAACAAAGAAAACCCAACAAACAAACAAAACAAAAAAACTCACCCCCCCCTCCGCCCCAAAACCCCAAACCAATCAAAAAAGAAGACAGGAAGAATTGGAGAGGTGGCTTAGCAGTTAAGAACATACTGCTCTTGGAGAGAATCTGAGTTTGGTTCCAGGTACCCTGTCAGGAAGCTCACAACCACTTGTAACTCCAGCTCTAGGGGGAGTTGCATATATCATTATACTACACACACACACACACACACACACACACACACACACATACACACACGTAATTTTCTTTTCTTTTCTTCGAGACAGGGTTTCTCTGTGTAGCTTTGGGTCCGGCCCTGGAACTTGCTCTGTAGACTAAACTAGCTTTGAGCTCACAGAGATGCGCCTGGCTCTGTCTCCTGAGTGCTGGGATTAAAGGCGTGCGCCATCACCGCCTGGCTCATAATTATTTTTAATATTATTTAATGTGTATGGGCATTTGCCTACACATATGTTTGTGTACTATGTGCCTGTCTGTCGCCTGAGGAGGCCAGAATGGCGTTGGATCCCCTGGAGTTACAGATGGTTGTGAGCCTTTGCAAGAGCAGCCAGTGCTCTAACTGGCTGAGCCATCTCTCCAGCCCCATGATGTTTAGTTTGAATTGTCAACCTGACACAGTCTGGAAACACCTGGGAAGAGAGCCTCCATCGATGTCTAGATCAGGCTGACCTGTGGGAATGTCGGGGGAACTGGTGACTGTGTTAACTGACTCAGTCTAAAGCTGGGCACCACTGTTCCCTGGGTTTGGGGCTGGGACTGGTGGAGTGGAGAGAGAGAGCTGAGAGTTACGCATGCATTCATTTTCTCTCCGCTTTTGACTGAATGTGACTAGCGGCTTCAATCTCCTGCCATCCTGACTCCGCCACAACGATGGACTGCAACCTGGAACTGTAAATCAAATAAACACTTCCCCCTTCAAGTTGCTCTTGTCAGGGTCTCCCCCCCCCTCCCCCCCCCGAAGCAGGGTTTCTCTGTGTAACAGCCCTAGCTGTCCTGGATCTCGCTCTGTAGACCAGGCTGGCCTCAAACTCACAGAGATCTGCCTGGCTCTGCCTCCCCAGTGCTGGGATTAAAGGCGGGCACCACCACTGCCCAGCTTGTCAGGGTGTTTTATCAAAGCAACAGGAAATGAAACTAAGAGAGAAGAGAACCGTCTTGTCCTTTCCAGTCCACCGAGAGCCCCCTGGACGATCTGGGCACAGAACCAGGGCCTTGCCAGTTTGGAGCAGGCCCAGCCCTTCACCTGTGTCACCTGTACAAGGCAGGAGTGCTTCCTCCTCCAGGAAGCCTGCCTCTCAGCCTGGGCTCACCTGCTTCCTACCACGAGACCTGCTCTGTGTATTCTGTCTCAAGCCCTCTAGCTCTTGGTCTTCCGGACTACAAAACTCTGGAGGGTCTTCACGGCTGCATGGCTGCGACAAGGCTAGACTCTAGATCCCCTGGAAGGGCATCCCAGAGAACTTTCTGGAAGTGGGTTATGATAGCCACAACTTGAAGCAATCCTTCTTGCCTCAGCCTCCAAAGTTCAGGGTTGCAAAGGTGAGGTACACTACCATGCCTGGCTTCCATCCCAGAATACTAGGAACACCAGGAACTAGAAATGCCTTGTGTCCCCTCCCCACCTATCCATCTGCGGGCCGTGCACCCCAGATCCTACCCCAGAGACCTCCTTTTCAGCATCTCTCAAGTACCTGGAATATCCAAGTTACTTTTCTGGTCCTTACCTCCCTTCAGGCAGAATTTACTGACATCCCCTCTGGCTCGGGCCTTCCCCTCAGCACAGTGCCCCAGGAAGGGTACCAGTCAGCAGGGTTGGGGCAGGGCCTACGACGGGGACCACCACTCACCAGGCCTGCGGCTTCCTCTTCACTAGCCCTCGATGCCTCCTCCACTGTGAATGAGGGCTGAGGTGGTAGGTCAGCTGTCGGCACAGTTTCTCCATGGCACCCAGGGCATCACCTTCCTGCAGAGGCAATCACAGGCACAGGTCTGTGAGGAGGCCCTGGAGGACTTGGAGGTGCCCTGATCCCCCCACTCTAGATTACGAAACTACCTGGCTCTCTGGGAGCTTAGGGTAAGAGAGGCCTGCTTTGCTGGCCCCAGTGAGCGCCTTTGGCAGGAGCGGCAGGCACAAGTCTTTCCCAGTGCAATCTGCCCACCTACACTGTCTGCCTGCTTCATTAGCATTTAAAAATATTATTTCATGTGTATGGATGTTTTGTTTGTATGTATGACTGCACCATATGCATGCAGTACCCGCAGAGGCCGGAAAGGGGCATCACAGTCTCTGGAACTGGAGTTAGAGATGATTGTTAGCTACTATGAGGGTGCTGGGAATCAAACCAGAGTACTCTTCAAGAGCAGCCAATGCTCTTAATTGATGAGCCATCTCTCCAGCCCTCTCTCCAGCCCTCTCTCATCAACATTTGAGTTTGTGACCCTGAGAACCATGGGCTGAACTGCATCCCTTCAACAATTATATATTGTTCCCGTTTTTTTCTTTTCCTTCCTTCCTTCCTTCCTTCCTTCCTTCCTTCCTTCCTTCCTTCCTTCCTTCCTTCCTTTTTTGAGACAAGGTTTCCCTGGGTAGCCCAGTGTGTCCTGGAATTCACCCTGTAGTCCAGGCTGGCCTCGAACTGAGAGATCTGCCTGCCTCTGCCTCCCGAGTGCTGAGATTAAAGGTGGGTTTAATCCCTGCTGTCTCGCTCTATATTGATCTCCTAAGCCTCAATTCCCCAGAATGTGACTGCATCAAAGACAGGACATTTAAAGGTAATTAAAGTAAAAATGAGGCCATTATGAGTGGGCTTTAATCAATATATCTGGTGTGTTTAGAAGTGATTAGGGAACAGACATGTCCAGAGGAAAGATCCATGTAAGCATGCAGGGGCAAAAAAAATCCTTTACAAAAGGCTAGAAGAGCCCACACATCTTGGCCTCCTGACCTCTACAACAGCGAGGACATTAATTTCTGTCATTTAAGTCACTGGACTATACACTGGGTTAACTGCAGTGCAAAGATTTAATAGAGACACACCAACTCCATCTCAAGGAGAATCAATTCAACATGGCCCCTGTGTCAGGTCTGAGCTGGGTGGAGAAGTGTGTCTCCCAACCCAGGAATGGGGGCAAGAGTGTGCTTCTGCCAGGAGACTCAGAGCCGAGGGCCAAGAGCCAGCAGTACTGGGGCTCCAGTGCAAACCACCCACAGGAGGCAGTGAGGTTCCGTGTATCGAGTAGCATCAGCTTTTCAGGTGTGATTACCATTGCCACTCTGCTCATGGAGAAGCAGCCTACTCAATCATTTAGAACACGGACTTGGACCAAACTGTGCAGTTCCATGTCCTGGTTTTGTCTGTGGCCTTGAGTGAATTAAGGCAACTTCTCTGTGCCTTCAGTTCTCGGGGGAGGGGGGCACAGCAGGACACAACACTGGCTTGTGCGGTTTGGGGTTTGGAGGATTAACTGGGTCACTACTATTCAGGTGCTTTGTGCAGAACCCAGAGCACAGGAAGCTCGCTCAATGAGCATGGTCTGTAGCTGTGGACACATTCAGGAATTCAACCACAGATCAAGAGTACCCAGAAAAGTTGGGCGTGGTGGCACACGCCTTTAATCCCAGCAGAGGCAAGAGGATCTCTGTGAACTTGAGGCCAGCCTGGTCTACATAGTGAGTTCCAGGACAGCCAGGAGAGACCTTACCCAGAAAAGAACGATGTCTGTCCTGAACATGGACAGACGTATTTTTCTGTCACCACTCCCTAAACAATGTAGCACAATCATTGCTCCTCTAGCATTTACCTGGGGATGCTCACTGCGAAGGAGGGTGGACACCTGGACTATGCTGCCTTAGGAAGGGACATGTGCATTTGGTATCTACAGGGTCCTGGGGCTCATCCTCCATGGAAAGACCAGCATGATATCCTGAGCTTCTGGTGCTAAACAACAAAGGTCCTTTCAGCCTGGGCTCAGAGGTAAGCTGGTTTTGTGTATGTGTGTATGTTTTGTTGTTTCTGAGCCAGGGTCTTACTGTGTAGCCCTGGCTAGTCTGGAAATCACTACGTAGACAAGGCTGGCCTTAAATTCACAGAGATCTGACTACCCCTGCCTCCCAAGTATGAGAATTAAAAGCATGTGTCACCACGCCCAGCCCTTAAGCTGAGTTTTTAAAGAGATACCCCTGAATGAGGAGCTAAAGTTGGGGAGGGCAGTTCTGCAGGCATGGGGGCAGCAAATAAGAATCTGGCCGGGCAAATCCGGCCATCCCCATGCTATCACTGTGCAAACCTTCCTGTCTCTCACCTGGATTACGGCAGACGCCACGCTAGAACGCTACAGAACGCCCACACTCCAGAGTATTACAAACTTTCATCCCCTCACTATACAGAGGCGGGGACTGAGACTCAGCGAGCTGTGGCTGACAGAATGGTAAGAGAAGAAAGTCCGAGCAAGTGGGACCAGAGAGGAGGGAGCCTGCGATCGAAGGAAGGCCTGGAGAAGTGAAGCATCTAAACAGGGAGCCATGGGGTGGCCTGCCGCTGAGGGGACTGCTCTGGAAGGGACCCCCTTGTTCCTTACAGCCTCACTGCTTCCTGCTGCTTCAGTGTGACCGACAAACCGGACATCAGTTGTCCAGGCCATCTCACCGAATCCGAGAGTAGACGTCGGATCCCTAGACTTAAGATTCTTGCTTAGCCTGGTCACACAAGGTGGGTGAAGGTGACACAGAGAAGCAGATGCATCGTTGGGGGCTGCCAGGGAGGCAGGAGAGAGGAACGGTGGGTGAGGTCTATGGGATCTTCTTTCTGGGAGATGGGGGCGGAGGGACAGGGAAGTTGAGAGGGTGACTGAGGCCATGCCCACAGAAGGGACTGAAAGTGACAGAGGTCACACACAGGTCAGAGAAGGTGTGGGCAGAGGGCAGATGAAGGGGTTGGGAATTGGGGCTAGAGATCTGGGCAGAAAGCACAGGGCTGGTGATAGTATTAGTTGTCAGTGTGACGAATGCAGCATTACCTGGGTGATGGGCTGCTCATCACGACCACGGGGGCATTGTCTTGTGTCCAGGGGATACCTGGGTGATGGGCTGCTCATCACGCCTGTGGGGGCATTGTCTTGACTGGGTACAGGGGAGTGGGGAGAGGCATCAATAAACCGAGCAGAAGCATGCATGTGTCTTGGCGTTTTGATTGCGTACGCAGTGTGACCGGTTACTTCAAGCTTTTTGCCACCTTGACTTCCCCCACATGATGCACCGTCCCTTGAACCGTGAGCCAGAATAAACCCGTTCTCTTTTAAGTTGGTTCTGTCACTGTACTTATCACATCAACAAGGGCTCCGGAGGAAGAGCGGGTGTAAATGCAGGGTGGGGAATGACCAGCTCCTATGGGGACATGCTCACTAGGAGGAGCCCGTGGGACCCCCACCTGGGATTCCTCGGATCTGGCTGAACCAATGGAATACGATGAGGGGGGAGTGGAGGGAACACTGGGCCAGGAGACAGAGAAGGCACAGAGAAGAGGTGTGAGTGAAGCACCTGGGATAGGGTGGCCAAAGTCACCTTTGGCGGCCACTCTGTGGCCGATGAGGGCCTTCCCCAGCACAGGCGTGGCTGGGGTGGTGAGTAGTGGTGCAGACTGGTAATGGTCATAGCTGACTCTGCAGGCAAAAGAATGGGATACCAGGGTGGGGCACGACACGGAGACGGCACATCTTGAGTTCATTTCCCATCTTGCCCAGGGCACCTTAAAAAATCGACACTAGTGGCGGTGAGCGGGCAGGTCCTCTGGCAGCGGGTTCACTTTATTTTCAGTTAGTATACAAAACAATAGGTCTTATTATGACATTCTCACACACATATTATTACATCTTACTCACACTCTCTTCCTTAGTGCTCTCCTCTGACCCTCCTCCCACTCGCTGGTCCAGCCCCCTTCTGCTTTCATGGCGCATACACTCTGGGAAAACCGCAATGTTTTGTTGTCTGTCTTCTCTCCCATTCCTTCCTTCGCTTATTCCCGATGCTTCCCGCCTCCCAACCCCTTCTTCCTGGATCCTAGTCCTGCGGGGCGGGGAGAGAGATTCTCTCGTGCAGCTACGGTGGAGAAGCACCCGGCTCTCGGACCTTAAGGACAAGAAGGGCCAATGGATGGGATGGGGTGTGTGTGGGCACGCCCAGCATCGTTTTGGGGTGCTCTGGGACCGAACTGTTACTAGTTTCCGTTGTGGCCCCTCCTCCCATCAGTTCTCCCCGGGTTTCCAAAGACCCGAGGCCGCGCCCTCTCCCTCAGTTGCCCAAGCTGGATTAGCTCAGGCAGCAGAATCTTCAGAGAACAAAGGCATAAAGAGGGATGGTAGTGCACGGTGTCGGCCACAAGAGGGCAGCCGAGCACAGGGCGAGGCTGCTGCTACCGGAGGGAGCCGGAGTCAATCTCGGCCTTCTCATTGGCTAAAGCGGGACAATAGCTGAGCATGCCAATTAGAGTTGCGAGTCCCTGTAAAAAGAACAGAGACGATCCCCTCTGCTTGCCTGGGCTAAATACACCATGGGTCTTTTGTTGTTTCTGTACTGCTTGGGATCCACCCTGGCCTCGGATGGCAGGCCCACACTAGCACCAGCCACACTTCCCACCCTTAACGATGACTGAGCATCTAGAAATCATTTCACTCCGGCACACGGTCTTACCACTCCCACTTTGCAAATGAGGGAACTGAGGCATAGAGTTCCACACGCACCTTGTAAAAGGGAATGAATCCAGACGCTGCCCCTTGGCTCCTACCAACCTACCCACTCTGCTCCTCTCGTTAGAGACCTGGCCCTTGGCATATTCATTCAAGGTGCTTTTATCCTTTTCCCAACTCATTCCCTTCCCAGGCTCCCTCAAGGCCTTCTTCCAGAAGAGAATGGCAAAGAGCGGGGCCAGCCCAGAGGAGGACAGTGTGTGTGTGTGTGTGTGTGTGTGTGTGTGTGTGTGTGTGTGTGTGTGTGTGTGTGTGTAAAAATGAGACACCTTGTAGGGACCGGACCGGACAAGAGAACAGGGCCTGTGGGTAGCCATATTCTCCGCCATGTGGGAGGGTGGGAAAGAGCCCCGTGAAAAGAGGAAACAGTACGTAATGGAGCAGAGGGGGGATGGACGGACTTATACAGCATGCCTGCTCAGTAGTTCCAAAGCCTCCACCAAGCTGAGCTGCTTTGGGGTGACAAGACACCGGGCCGCGTGGGTGTCTGTTAGCGGCGATTAGCCACGCAGAAGGCTCAGTATGGACTGTGGAATACTCCTGGCGGCTCTTCCTCTCACCCGTGGGGAAGCGTGGAGGCATGGCACAATTGGCGGGACTCCAGGCACTGCAGTCTCTCCAGAACTGCCCAGGGACACTGCCCTGAAGCGCTGGGGGAGGGGCTGTCTGAGGGACTTCCCCAGGATCGGTTGGAAAGCGGCGCAGGGGCCCACAGCCAACCTACAGCCTTCGCTGGTCTCTCGGCTGTCAGATGCCATCTGTCCCTTCACTTCCCAGGCACCTTGAGAAGAGCACCTAGGACTCCAACAACCTTGTCTGCCACTCAAAGGCTTCCCTCATTCATAAATTTACCCATTCATTAATCAGATTCTGACTGCTCCACTCACTACACACTGGACACTGTTGAGATGGACAGCCTGCCCGTTTTCCCTTGGCTTACCCCTCCCCCACCCTACCCCCATCTGTTTCCTGCCCATCTCTGCGTCTCTGCGTCTCTGCTCGCGGGACTGCTCTGCACAGTACATCACCAGGTTCTCTTGTCCCTGGTCTCTAGCTGGGCTCAGTTAATGAGAGCAGCCCAGGATCAGGAGGACGAAACGGCCAAGCCGTCTCATTCAGCACGTGTTGGAGCCTCCCAGACCATCCTGTCCTTTGTTCCTGGCAGCCAGCCCCAGGATTTATCAGAACTGTCCCGGGGATCAAGAGAACAGAAGGGCCGGAGGGGTGGTGTGTGCATTCTAGGACAGGTATCTTGGCTCGCTCTGTGATACAGGACACTCAGGCAGTCCTGGGGAGACACCCACATGGCAACAAACGGCGGCCTCCTGCCACCAGCCCCGCAGCGTGCCTTAATGAACTCCAGTAAAGCCCGACACCTGTAGCCTCGGACTCCTGCCCCGCAGAGACGGTTTGACAACCCATGCCCGCTTTTGTGTTTTGTTTTACTTACTTATTTTTAATTGTTTTTTTTACATATGAGTATGTATGAGGACGAGTGGGTGGGTGCATGGGGATGCCATGGCACACGCACTGTGGTCAGGGGACAACTGTCAGGGCACCTGACTGTGACTGCAGTAGAGGTGAGATGGGAGGTGGAGGCAGCCAGTCTACCCCAGTGGGTGAGATTCCAGGCCAGTGAAAGACCTTGTTTCTAAGGTAGAAGGCATCTGAGGAACAGCAGACACTTTAGACTGTCCAATGACCTCTATGAGCACACGTACACAGGTGCACACATGCATTTGGACACATACTCACATCCTCTTATTCCTTCCATGTATGCTTGCACACACACACATGCACGCACGCATGCACATGCACACACACACACACACACAAATTCACAATGGAACGTGCTGTTTCCTGCCTGTTAGAAGATAGAACTGTGAACAAGATGGATAGATAATCCTTAGAGTATTATTTTTTTAAAAGACAGATGTGGTGATATTTTATTTGTGCTTTAATAAATAAAGCTTGCCTGGAGACCAGATGAAAAAGTCAGCCAATATAAGTAGACAAAGAAATCAGGCAATGTAGCACACGCCTTTAATCCTATCACTTGGCAGGCAGGGATCTATCTGGATCTCTGTGAATTCAAGGCTACACTGGAAACAGAGCCAGGCGTGGTGGCACACGCCTTAAATTCCAACTCTAGTTAACCATGGAGGTCTGGAGGTCTGTATAGACAGACAGGAAGTGACTGGGCTGGGCAGAAGCAGGAAGTGATGTAGCTGGACTGAGAGAGCAAATCAGATGGCAGAACAGCAAGGCATATAGACTGGGTAGACAGGAAGTCACTCGCATTTGGAAGCTGCGGAGTTGGTGAGGTAAGGTTAGCTGAGGCTTTCCCTATTTCCCTGATCTCTCAGGTTTTCACCCCTATATCTGGCTCCGTGTTTTTTTTTTTTTAATTTAATAAGACCATTTAGTAATTCATGTCCAGACAGGGTCTCACTCTGTGGCTCTGCCTGGCCTGGAACTTACTATACAGACTGGGCTGACTTTGAACTCACAGAGATCTGCCTCTGCACTACTGTCTGGTGCTGGTACTAAAGGCTTAAGTCTCCACTTAAGTGGGTAAAGTAGACCGCAAAGTAACCACCCAGCCAATATGGGATAATTTAGGTCTTACGTGCCCACAAAGGGCCATGCGTTGAAGGCTTGATCCTCAGTGCGGTGCCACTGGGAGACAGACTTGAAGAGAGGAGTCTAGCCAGGCGGTGGTGGTGCTAAGTCACTGCAGGCGTTTGGTTTGAATCTAAAATGTCCACACCACCCAGGCTCATGTTTCAATACTTGTTCCCCAGCTGGTGGGATTATTTTGGTTGTGGAACTTTTAGGAGATGGTCCCCTAGTTGGTGGAAGGTCACTAGGGGTCTTTGAAGACGACGGCCTAGTCCCTGGTTCTAGCCTTTCTCTGTTCTTTCTGGTCCACCATGATGCGAACAGACACTCCCATAAGAGCTGGTGGTCTTGACACCTTGTCTACACCTCTAGGCCACAACTTGAACATCTAGGGGAGTGTCAGACGCAAAGGCCCGTGAGAAGGGAGTCCCAGTCCCTTCTGGGATGTTCTTTCCACCTCTGTCCCACTCACACCTGGGGGAGTCCCAGAGGAGCCAAGGCTGGTCAATGAACCCCCAGCAGGGCTGGGCCCATTCTGCTGCTTTGGAAATCCTGGTCAGAGAGCAAGACCTGGCCTGTGGGGACCATGTCTGATCTGCTGCTCTTTCCTACACTGCCCTACTGGTTCAGTACCCTGGTGGCACGCAGAAGGTGCCACGGGCCGGCTTCTGTGCACAGGTGGCCATTTGGACAAGGCCCATGCAGATGCTTCGTGAGCTATCTCACTTGGCTCTCAGCAGGAGGGAGACGGTTCCGATGCCCATTTTGGAGTTGAGGGAAAGGAAGTTCTGGAAATCAAGCGATGTGGGAAAGGTCACACCATGCAGAGCACTGAAGACATGTGCTCCACCCCCATTCACGTGTTGGAAGGTGGGGCCTTCCGGAGCTGACTCGGTGGTGAGGGTGGAGCCCTCGCAGTGCTGTTCTAAGAGGGGTCTAGAACCTTCTTTCCACCATGTAAGGACCCAGGAGAAGGCAGCAATCGGAGATGGCGAGCGAGGGTCCCATCAGACACCCTAACCGTGCACTTCCAGCCAGATGTGAGAAATGAATTCCTACCTAGAAGCCCTCAGGCTATGGTACTTGTGTAGCAGCCTGTACTGAGTAACCCAGACTGATGTGGTCCCCGGCCCCACCTAGGCTGAAGAGAAGGAGCTCTAGGCTCTCCTGGCCTAGCCTGGTCCTGTGTTAACTCTGGGCCTGGTGAGGCAGTTAGATTTTCTTGTCTTGCCCAGGCCCAGGTTTGCAGAGTAAACACCTCTGCCGTCCTCAGGAAAGGCACATCTACTGCAGTACCTGCCTTCCTCAGCTCTCAAATGGGCATGAAGATAGTATTTTCCCTATATTCATAGGTTGTTTTTCTGTTTGTTTTTGTTTTTCTCGAAACACAGTTTCTCTGTGTAGTTTTGGTGCCTGTTC